CAAGGCATTACTTTCATTATTACATTATTTTTCTACATTGTGGTGTGATAGCAGCCCTTTCAAATGACTGAGCTGCCCTAACCCGAGGCATGTTATTGCACATTATGCACTTATTAATGCAACAGAGCGTGGACATCGGAATCATGCTTAGAGCTTAAAAGCCTTTTCAGGGTGGTCACTAGATGGTGCTACTGATTTGTGCTTGCTAAATACATTTGTAATATTAACTGCTTTGTATTAGAAGCCGTCTGACCACCCGTACAGGTTGATTTAAAGGTAAATTGAAGGCTCCCACTACTTTTTTCCTTCTGAATGTGTTGCTTGCCTGGCTGTTTTTAGTCTGATACTTTCTCAGTCACTGACCTTAAACAAGCATGCAGTCAGAAAATGAGCTCCTTCGGTAATGCATGCCTCATCACTAGCTAGCTATCCTAGCCTGATCTTTTGAAAATGCTAGTTTCTTGGCTTCAGTACTGAGTGTCTAACACAACAGCATATAGCCAGGGAAGTCACGACTCCTTATATGCATACTTGCTCCAAGTCATGACTTTATTTACAGAATTTACAGAAGCCTTTGGATTAGAGAATGGAATGTGCCCTTGCTGATCTTCTGAAAATGTTTGTTGAATGGCTGCTATGTTATGCTAACCCTCCGGTTTCTGGGGCAGTGACCTAGAACCAGTATACGGATCAGGAAAGTCAAATCAGAAACCCTTATCCGCATACTTGTTCTGGGTTGGTGAATCAAAGTATTGATGCAAGGGTATCAGCATGCCTGCCAGACAATCCACGTTTTCAGACTACAAAAACAGCAATGGCTGCCTCCAAGGTTTACTTTTACTTCCAATTGGTAAATTCTTCTAATTCCAACATAAGCAAACTTCACATTTGAATAAAAAACTATTACATAAATATCAAATGAAAAAAGCTATAATTTTATGATACTAAAAGTGGCTCCTTTAGGATAAGCAGAGCTGATCATCATAAGGGGACGCCATAAGTGGCTCCATAAGTACTTCTAAGCAGGCCAGGCCTCAGCAATTAAAAAAAAAAACACCACCATAACATTCAAAGGATTAATAATGCAATCATTTAATAAAAAAAGAAACTTTATAAGATTTAGCATTTTTCTTTGAGGTACTTAAGCGGAACTACACGGTGTCTGAGCACCACAAACTGAAAATGCTATTTTTTAATATTCAAAAGCAAACTTCCCCATCCATCCATGTCTCCATGTTTTATTTGCTGAGAAATCACTTTAAAAAATACCCCCCTAGTATTTCTGGCAGTGACTATCTTGAGTAAGCCCAGATGATTCGTGTAGCATTTACTTCCTGGAATCTATCTGCCCTTAGCTCAGGTATGCAGGCAGGAAGGTGTGCTTAACTGAAAAAAACCCTCCTCCCCTCCTGGGATGTATGACATAATTTGCCTAGGCCTGAAAACCAGGAAGTAACTGAAGGAATGTTAAAAATGTTTTAAACTAGTAAATATGATATACTTCCTAGATATTTACTAATGCTAGCAGCATAAGGATTACAAATAGTCCATGTTGATTGAGAGAGTAAAGGTCCACTTTAAGTTATAGCAAATGATAAAATGCAAGAAGACATTTTCTGTACTAGCCAAATGCAAAATTGCGTTTAAAAAAGATAGTTCTCATAATCCAAAGTACTACTTGGGTCACTTATTAACCTGTTGAAACAAGAATATAGGAGCAGCCATTGCCAGCTAATTTTTAAAGTGAGCCTGTGTGTAAAAGAAAATGACAAAGATAATGGAGGCTACAAGCGGGCATGTCAGGTGCTACAGTTTAGGATGGGGCAGAGAGGCCCAATCTCCACTGCATGAAAAAAAATAGGTGGTGAAAATGTACATGTATTAAAAGATGTATAGACTCCAGAGAGAGACATCATATTACCCCGGTACAAATCATTAGTAAGACCTCATCTGAAATATGCAGTTCAGTTTTGGGCACCAATTCACAAAAAGAACTTTGGGGAACTGGAGAAAGTACAGAGAAGGGCAACCAAACTGATACGAGGCATTGAGGAGCTCAGCTATGAGGAAAAATTAGAGGAACTGAATTTATTCTCTCTTGAGAAGAGGAGATTAAGGGGGGATATGATCAACATGTATAAATACATCAGTGGTTCATATAGTGAACTTGGTGTGGAGTTATTCACCCTGAGGTCATCACAGAGGACAAGGGGGCACTCTTTCATCTGGAGGAAAAGAAATTTAATCTCCAAACAGGGAAAGGTTTCTTCACAAGTAAGAGCTGTGAAAATGTGGAATAGACTCCCTCAAGAGTTGGTTCTGGCCAGCTCAGTGGATTGCTTTAAAAAAGTCCTGGATTCTTTCTTAGATACACAGAATATAACTGGATACTAGCATTTATAGGTAAAGTTGATCCAGGAAATATCCAATTGCCTCTCGGGGGATCAGGAAGGAATTTTTCCCTGCAGGAGCAAATTGGATCATGCTTTGCGGTTTTATTTTTGCCTTCCTCTGGATCAACTGTGGGAATAGGATTATAACTTTTTTTTTTTTTTTTAACTGGATGGACTTTTGTCTTTTTTCAGCCAGACTATGTAACTATATGTGTGTTTTTGTATTCTGCTGTTAGTTTTATAACTTTTTTGATAATCAGTTTGTTTTAAAGTGTACCTCTAGCCAATTGTTCATTTATTTGCTTAATTTATTTAATAGTTAAAACCCCTGACAGATTTTGATGTATTTGCTGCCTTATCAAGGGCATTTGCATTTATTTTATGTCCCAAAGACACAAAAGGAAGTGAGAGTAAATCTCTCATAAAAAAAAGAAATAAAAACAATGGCCAGTCAATCATATGTCCAGACTGGAAGATTTCCCCTCACTTTCTGGTCTGGTACAGCTGTAAAAATGTGTATTACTTGTCACCAGCACAAAAAAAGAGGGTGCACCTACCAATTGAGGACACAGACGGCAGTTAAAATCTGGGAAATGTTCCAAGCCTTTTCCATTCTATCTAAAAGTAAAAAATAAAATGTAGATACACTTTTAATATTCATGTAGCCCTAGTCTTACCTTTCCAATGAAATAAGTGGTTTTATTATTATTATTATTATACAGTATTTATAAAGCGCCAATAGTTCGCTCAGCGCTGTACATTACAAAGGGAGACAGAACATGTGACAGAACAATACCAATACAATGCAAAACATGAGGGGATCAAGGGCCCTGCTCTTTCGAGCTTACAATCTAGGAGGGAGGGGGTGGTGGCACAGGAGGAGATAGCTGTGGGGGATGGAGTGGTAGGAAGAGTGGAGGAGGTCGGCAAGTTAGCAGGGGGTGGGGTAGGCTTCCCTGAAGAGATGGGTTTTCAGGGTGCGCCTAAAGGAGAGGAGAGTAGGTGATAATCTGATGGGTTGGGGCAGGGAGTTCCAGATGATGGGGTGACACCCTGGAGAAGTCCTGGAGGCGGGCATGGGAGGAGGAGACCAGGGAACTAGAGAGAAGGAGGTCTTGTGAGGAGCGGAGTGTGCGTGCTGGGCGGTACTTGGATATTAGGTCAGAGATGTAGTACGGGGCAGTATGGTGGACAGCTTTGTACGTCAGCGTTAGGAATTTGAATTTGATCCGTTGTGCAATCGGAAGCCAGTGGAGGGATTGGCAGAGGGGGGTGGCGGAGACAGAGCGGTTGGAAAGGTGAATGAGTCTGGCAGCCGTGTTCAGGATGGACTGAAGAGGGGATAGCCAGCGGCGAGGCAGGCCAGTGAGGAGGGAGTTGCAGTAGTCGAGTCGTGATATGATGAGGGAGTGGATGAGCTGTTTAGTGGTTTCTGGGGATAGGAACGTGCGGATTTTGGCGATGTTGCGGAGGTGGAGTCTGCACGAGTTTGTTAAAGATTGGACTTGGGGCTGGAAGGATAGGTTGGAGTCCAGAATGACACCCAGTACTCTGGCCTGCAGGGCGGGTTTGATGGTAGCGTTGTTGGATGTGACGGAGAAATCAATGGGGGGTGGTGTCCGGGCTGGGGGGAAGACAAGAAACTCGGTTTTGGAGAGGTTCAATTTAAGGAAGTGGAGCGACATCCAGTCTGATATGTCGCTCAGTAGGTGTGTGATTCGGGCTGAGACCAAGGGGGTGAGGTGGGGGGTTGAGAGATGGATTTGTGTGTCGACGGCATAGAGGTGGTAGTTGAAGCCGTGAGAGTGTATGAGTTGGCCAAGGGAGGAGGTATAGATGGAGAAGAGAAGGGGCCCGAGGACAGAGCCTTGAGGGACCCCAACAGAGAGGGGGAGTGAGGGGGAGGTGGTAGCATTATAGGTAACGCTGAAGGAGCGTTGTGACAGGTAGGATGAGAGCCAGGAGAGAGCAGAATCTCTGAGGCCGAGGGAGTGTAGTTTTTTGAGGAGGAGGGGGTGGTTGACTGTGTCGAAGGCCGCAGAGAGGTCAAGGAGTTTTATTGCTGTCTGTGTCTTCACTGGGAAGAATTTGCTCACTTGCTGTCTTAGAAGCCACACGAAAAGAAATGATAAATCAATAATAACAACCTAACAGATAATTTAATCCATTCCTAGTCAAACTAAAAAAAAAAAATTTTTGTAACTTCTTTTTGTAACTTATTTTGTAATTTGTTTACTTCTATGAAAATGCAAAACTCATTTGATGCAAACAAAACCTGTTGAAGCAAGCCAAAATGAAGCATAATGTAAAATGTGTTTATAAACAGACCCCTACAAGTAAATGGTTATCCTTTGCTTGTAAGAAGGCCACAAAAGAAAACAAAGTACCATCAAGCCATTCAAACTCAGTTTTTTCTTTAATTTTTTTACCTTGTAACACAGGTCACTAGAGAAAATACAACAGAACTGTACTTGTAAACGGACTGTAAACAGACACACTCATAAAGGAGCCTCTTTAGTTCCTGCGGGGAGATCGCTGAGATGCTATCATCCAGCAAAATGACACAAGAGGACAAGACTTCTGATCCCTCATCGGTATGGTCCTGACTCACTCATTAGGCAGTTGCTGTAATTCCCGCAGACCCTAGAAATATTTAAGAAATCTTTTGTGAGTTACAAGTATTACAATCGTTTTCTGTAAAAAGTACATACATGAGCACTCTGTGTGCAAGTTATTATAGTCAGTTGGCTACTGCAGATCACATATGTGAGGCCTCATTCACATGGGTAGAGAGGTGCATCATGAGTACCTCATTTGTTTATGCATAGGGGTCTGTCTGGGGCTGTGTACAGGCAACCTGTGTTAACGAGTGGACATGTAGTGGCTGCATGGACTTCAGCACACAGCTGATTTTGACAGGTGTGCAGGAGTGGATGGTTGCACATCTGCCCCTGCATACCTACCTAAATTGGCTGTGTTCTGGAGTCTGTGCAGCTGCTGCATATTCATTCATTACCACAGACTGCCTGCGCACAACTGCGGGTGGCTCTATGCACATTAAACAAATGCCTTATTCGTGATGTGGGCCAGTGTGTGAATGAGGTCATACATTGAGGTCCAGTTCACACTACATGCGTTTTGGTTGCTTTTTTTCTGCATCCAAAATGCACAGAAAGTAGGTTATATGGTTGTCAATGTCATAGTTCATATCAGTGCTTGCAGTTCCAGTTGCAAAAAAAAGTAGAACATGCTGCATTTTTTCTGCACAGAACTGTACTGGAACACGGTAAAATACATCAGAAATGCACTGGAACGCACATGTCCCTATTTCAATTGAAGAAAAAGGCAGAGGAAAAAATGAACTGAAATGCATAAAAAATACTTCAAGAAACATAAACACACCTGAACGCGCCAAAAACGTGCATGTGGAAACGCATCTGGACTGCGTTTCTATAGTGTGAACCGGCCCTAAAACAAATAGTCTCTTATGGACTGTTTCAGGTTCTTTTGATTGTTTCTACTGATTTTGTATTCTCACAATAGTGGGAACACAAAACCAATATAAATCAGCTCAAATACAGGTCAGAAGGAGGTTAACTGCTGGTAAAATGTACCTGTCAATACATTTTGAATGATTTCAAAAGCATTTCAGTTTGATGTCCAACTGCTGTCATTGACACAAGCTCAAAGCCAATTGACACCGGCCCTTAGACTTTATCATTTTAACATGTGTCCCCATTTGAAGAGTTTCCCTCAACACTTGTTCTGATGACAACTGTACAATTCTGGGTTTCCCCTCACTTTATCACTATCTTGGAGATGTTTACTACGACAAAAAGGGGATTCTCCACCGTGGGAGCACAGACAACGATACAGGGCTGATACAAGTTCTAACTACTGTCAAAACTCCAAATAAAAAGATACTTTGAATACAGATAATACTTTTGGCTTCTGCTCCATCTGGAGGAACATAGGTAAGTATTTTAAAGCCCAACTCCGTTAGAACAGCCTGTACTTGCAACGTGTAGGAGAGTCGGACCCCCCACTCTCTCAAAAGGGCAGCAGGCCAGGTTTTCAGTGATCTGACATGCTCCCAACAAACTGCTCCAATCAACAGGGCTCTTAATCTCTGAACACTGCTGTTGATTACATGAGAGCAGCGGTCCAACTCTCCCATGGGCTGCCAGCTCATGGTGTCTCAATGCTTGCTGAAGCACTTAAGTAGGGCAAAAGCTCTTTTGAACCTACTTCTCCTGTGTTTCACAGGAGTGCGCTTCGTTCAGATGACAGCAGGCTAAAGTCTCCTGTTGACTGACATCAGAGAGCCGGTCCACACTTTGGAGGGATCCTGATTTTATTGTTGGGATCCACCTAGATGTTTGGACTGGTAGCTAGCTCAGCCTCTCAGCGAGTCGCTGAGAGCCTGAGCCAGCTTCGTCCAGCCCCTGCTCAACCCAACGCTCCAGTGAGAACTGGAGGAGCAGAGCACAGAGCCAGTGACTGCAGGTCACCAGCTCTCTGCTCGCTGGAGACTGAGAACTGAGTGATCTTTGATCATTTAATTCTCGCTCTTAGAGGCAGCATTGAATCGATGCTGCACCCACCAAGGTGAAAACAGAAAAGAACAAAACAGGGCGCACTCTCCTCGCGCATTACCGTGATAGTAAGAAATTTATTATAAAAAAATACATACTCACAAATCAAAAAGGTCATAAAAACAGAGACAAGAAGTCAAATATGCCAGTCATGGGCAACATAGGTCCTCGGGTAAAGTACTAACACATTTCAAGAGTCGAACTCCCTTCCTCAGAGCATAGATCTATTGCTCTGAGGAAGGGAGTTCGACTCCCGAAACACAATAACACTTTACCCGAGGACCTATGTTGCCCATGACTGGCATCTTTGACTCCTTGTCTCTGTTTTTATGACCTTTTTGGTTTGTGAGTATGCATTTGTATTTTTATAATACATTTCTTACTATCACATTAATGCACGAGGAGAGTGCGCTCTGTTTTGTTCTTTTCTGCTAGTACCAAGATTCCCCGATCTATCAAAGGCGGCAACTCAGCAAGTCCTAGATTCCGTATTTAGAGTGCAGCAAGAAGGTTTGAGCGCTGGTTTCTGGTTAGTATTGGAGTATCCACCAAGGTGAACATGACTGTCAACTCCTCTTTTAACTAAAAGCAAGAAATTCAATTTACAAAAAAACAGCACTTGTATTGCTGCCTGACTAGATTACAATAATAAATAAAAAGCATTCAAATGTGCTTTAATCCTTTGAAGTTAATTGGATATTTGATTGATTTCTTCCATATAAATAGCTTAAGATATTCTGAAATCTAAACTTTTTGGAACAGGTTTCTATCCTCCTCATGCGTCTTGTTCCTTTGCTTACAGAATCTGTAATCTGCACACCTTTATTATCTGACACACACTGTAATATCTGGGAGCTTTAGACAGAAGAATAAGCACACAGCAGGTGATTAATTTTTACCTCCAGGACCAGTCTGATGTGGGCCTTAATATTTGCAGCATCCTTGGTCAGATTTTCACTAATTTCTGGAAAATAAAGTAATAATTAAAAAGCAGAAAGTTACAGAGCACATCGTTTTGCATAAGGAGCTGTCACAGATTTTCTTACTGAGTCAGCATTTTGTTCTTCTTTTCGATAAATTTTAGCGCTTCATCCAGCGTTAGTTCAGCAAAAAATCCAAAACCCAAAGCCAGGAATATCTTCGATGAGTCAGGACTGGCAAAAAAACCCCAAGAAAAAATATGTTATCGCGCATTTAAAACTAAACTTCAGACAAACAATTAAATCCATGCAAGAAATACATATGTAAGAAGTGTTTTACCTCTCAAAGAATTTGTATGTTTGTCCATGCTGTCCCATAATTTACAAAGCTCAGCCAGGCTGGTGGCCAATCATTAGATGTGGTGGCTGCATTAGTTTTCTTTTTTTTAAGGCTTTTTTTCCCCCTTGTTTTCACCTGGTGAGCTGGACAGTAACACATTTCCTGTATTAGGCCCCTTTCAGATGGGGCGGATCCGTCACCGTGGGATCTGCCTGCTCAGCGGGGGATCTCTCCGCTGATCCCCGCTAAGCAGGCGGATGACAGGTCTCTGTCTGCTCTGCTGCTGAAGAGCGGACACAGACACTGCCCGCTGATTTCAATGGGACGGCCAGATGGAAACAGACCGCCTGTCCATTTCCACCCGACTGTCATCTGATCTGTCTGTTTTTGGCATACAGGATCGGATTGGATGCTGGTGGGTGTTAGTGGATTATTGCCCATATACGCTCGTAGGCCCACTGAAGTCTATGGATGGACCGAAGTCTATGGATGGACCGATCTTGTTCGCCTGGAAAACTGACAGGCGGACCCCATTGGTCCGCTCGTGTGAAAGGGGCCTTACACAGACACCACTCTGGATGAAGGAGCACAGAAGGCAGATTTGGACGGTAGCATTGTCAGCCTGGGAGGAGGGAAGTGTTAGATGTACTATCAGATTTAAAAACACTAGCAAATTGAAGCTGAACTCCAGCTAATACTTTATAAGCTGTTGCAGCAAATAATTTTTTTCCTTTTGGGATTATTATATAGGATTTATACAGGGATAAAGGTCATTTTAAGCATCTCTGCCAGTGTTAAATGGCCTGTCTCACCCTGTAACAGTAAGAGAGCTTTTCTGTTGAAAAACAATAGACTTATTGACCAGATTACTAGATGAAAATAGAAAAAAGGAAAACTGATGCAACCATCACATTTAAAAATTGGTAAGCTGCAACACAATAAATGTTTTCGCTTCGGTTAAATATTGCTTTAAAGTGTTACTAAACCCAGGACCCTAAATCCACTATATCTGGTCTTCCACAGTACAGACAACATAGGAGTGCAATTATTTTAGTAAATATAAACTGCTAAATACCTTTTCTCATCAGCAGTTAGAGCAGTCTTGTGACCTCTACCAGTGTCCAGCAGAGCACTAGTTAAAATCACTTGCCCTCCACAAGATTCACCCCCCTTCCTGACCAGGCCATTTTTTGCGTTATAGCGCTGCGTTACTTTAACTGACAATTGCGCGGTCATGCAACACTGCAACCAAATGAAATTGATGTCCTTTTTTTCCCCCACGAATGGAGCTTTCTGTCTGTGGTATTTAATCGCCTTTGCGGTTTTTATTTTTTGCACTATAAAAAAAAAAGCCCAACAATTTTAAGAAAAAAAACTATATTTTTGACTCTGCTATTAAACATGTCCAGTAATAAAATTTAAAAAATAAAATTTCATCATAAATTTAAGCCAAAATGTATTCTGCTCCATGTCTTTGCTAAAGAAAATCCCAATACGTGTAAATTAATTGGTTTACGTGAAAGTTATAGCGTTTACAAATGGTGGTATATATACTGGGATTTTTTTTTTACTAGTAATGGCGTCGATCAGCAACTTATAGCGGAACTGCGGCGGGCATTCTGACACTGGGGGGGAACTGACTTGGTGTCACTGACATCCCCAGTGACACCAATACAGTGATCAGTGCTAATAAACAGCACTGACACTGTACTAATGGAACTAGGCAGGAAGGGGTTAACATGTAGGGCGATCAAAGGGTTAACTGTGTGCTGTTTTACATAGTTGGCTGTGTCTGTTTCACTGTAAGCACACTGCTTCTTTAATGCTGCCTTTTTCTTTATTTTCACCTGGTAATTCTTCACATAACACACTTACTGTGCCTGCATGGCTACAATCACAACCCTATGTTTGTCACACTAGGCTGGACTTCAAATATGTCTTCCTCTCTTTATCTTCATTGCATGGGGGGGTTAGAGATCAGTAATTAACAGAAAGAAGATACCATTGTTCTACTTCCAGTTCAGTTCACAGAAAGTGACAAGAACACAGTATTTTTGGCAGGATCAACAAATGTTTTCTGTACTTGCTGAAAAATGTTCTTAGCCTAGAACATAAAAACTCAAACAGCCACCACATCTAAGGACTGATATGTTACATTTTGGTTCTTGGGTTTAGATATCCTTTAACAACATGCCGCTCAGCCACTGTGTAGAAATACGGCGTCAGGGCGGCACGGCTGGGCAAAACCATGTTTTAAAACGTGTGTTTTCAAAACAGGTAGGTGGCGCGCGTGAGGCGCGCCTCCGCCCTACCTGTCCCGCTGATCATGGCCGTGGATGTCAGTCGCCGGGTCACAACCGGTCGTTACCGGCTATGTCCCGGCGATCGGCGGCAATCGCTGACAGAGAGCACAGCTGCAGTAGCTGTGCTTTCTGTCAGTTCCCTAACAGCTTCTGACACGCTGATCGAGAAGAAGAGTTTATCTGTCCGGATCAGTGTGTCTCTGTGCAGTACACACCCCCGCCCCCTAGTAAAACACTCCCCTCAAACAGTTAACCCTTTCACTGAATAATAAAGTTAACTCCTTCCTCCCCAGTGCCATTAGTACAGTGTCAGTGTTTTTTTTTTTGCACTGATCACTGTATTGATCTCACTAAGGATGTCAGTGACCCCAAGTCAGTTCCCCCCAGTGTCAGAATGTCCACCGTAGCCCCGCAGTCCCGCCATAAGTTGCTGATCACCGCCATAAGTCACTGATCGCCGCCATAAGTCTCTGATCGCCGCCATTATTAGTATAAAAAAAATTTAAAAATCCCAGTATCTTTCCCGCCGTTTGTAAACGCTATAACTTTCACGTAAACGTAAACCAATTAATTTACATGTATTGGTTTTTTTTTTAGCAAAGACATGTCGCAGAATGCATTTTGGCAGAAATTTATGACTAAATTTGATTTTTACATTTTTTTTTACTGGACATGTTTTATAGCAAAAAGTCCAAAATATTGTTTTTTTTCCTCAAAATTGTCAGCCTTTTTTTTATAAAATAAAAAACGCACAGGCGATCAAATACCACCGAAAGAAAGCTCAATTTGTGGGAAAAAAAAGGAGGTGCCGTATTGCATGACCGCGCAATTGTCCGTTAAACTAGCGTAGCGCTGTATAGCAAAAAAAGGCGTAAATTGCAGTATCTATACCATAGTTTGTAGACGCTATAACTTTCACACAAAGCATTCAATATACACTTATTGGGATTTTTTTTTACCAAAAACATGTAGCAGAATACATTTTGGCCTAAATTTATAACCAACTTTGAATTTACTATATATTTTTTATAGCTGAAAGTAAAAAATATTGTTTTTCTTCAAAATTTTTGGTCTTTTTTTGTTTATAGCGTGAAAAACAAAAAGCGCACAAGTGATCAAATACCACCGAAAGAAAGCTCTATTTGTGTGACAAAAAGGACGTAAATTTCGTTTGGGTGCAGCATTGCATGACCGCGCAATTATCAGCTGAATTAGTGCAGCGCCGAGTAGCAAAAAGAGGCCTGGTCATTAAGGGGGGTAACTCCTCAGGAGGGCAAGGGGTTTAACAGTTTAGCTCTAACATATTTACACCTCCTATGGATGACAGCAAGTTTTAGATTTCTGCCCCACTGTGCTATTGAGTTCTGACAGGGGGACTGTCCTCCCGCCAGGACAAACTGATCAGCGCTCAAAGCCATTGGATTTCCAGCATGCTCATTTGACAGATGCCGGTTGTGAGATCAGCATCTCTTGGACAGGCAGCTGTACACGGGTTGAAAGTCAGCCAGTTTCCACTGCAGTGTTTCTCAACCTTTTTTCAGTCAAGGCACCCTTTAAAATTATGGACAGTCCAGAGGCACCCCTCAAAAAATATGGTCAGTTTTGAGGCACCCCCTTCTAAAATGGGGTGCCTCTAGACTGTACCTAATTTTAAAAGGGCACCCCATTCTAAAATGTGAAAAACTATTCTAATAGTTTTATATACCACAGCGACACCCACACATGTAGGACACCCAACATTAGCGGTGATTTATTCTTCCAAAGCAAATACACTTTTGCACACTGGTACTGACTAGTATTCCAGTGTTTCTCTTCTCCCTCAGTTTTTCTCCATCACTGAGCTAATGTGACCCCAGAACTGATGGAGAGGGGCAGGGGAGGGTCAAACAAGCATGCTGTGCAGGCAACCAACATCCTCCTTATCATCTGATGATGTCATTGGTTGTATGGACACCGGTGGCTAGAAGGTTGTAATGGTGCACAATGAAAACCTGTGGCTTTGTGTAACTAAAAGGCAGGCTTGTTCCACCCGCTGACTTGTATACAAGTTTTGGGCAATCTTTTTAGACATTTTTAGACATTTTGCCTAAAGAAACCTCAAGGCACCCTAGTTGAGAAAGGCTGTTCCACTGTATTGGCTGATTTCAGCCGATAATCGACCCATGTGTACCCAGCATGAAAGTATCAGTGTGACTGGTAATCAAATGTAAAGTCTAATAGGCTGGGGACAGGGAGGTGACCTTACTGTGTCAATTACCTGTAACAGAGAAAAGAATGGTCACCAGACTGGGTGTGTGTTACTGCTGCATACAGTTGGCCATAGGCGGGTCATTTCGTGACCCTCCAAACAGCAAAACCCTTCAACAGAAGTCAATCATGTGATACGTCTGTTGATTGGGGATGGGGATGGCTACATGCTGCTGCATTTTGATGTATGGATCTCAATGGTATTTAGCTGGTTGCTTGGAGTTCAGCTTTAAATCCATGTGTTTTTCCAGTCTATTAGAATGTATTTCCCATGCTGGGTTAGTCATGTGAAATGAAATAAGAAAACAAAGCATGGCTCCCAGCAAGCAATCCAATATCCACAATACATACACAGCACAAAAGAATTTACTTTAGCTGTGATGTGTTCCTATAGAGCTTTAGATAACATAACGTGTTGGCCCAGAGGTAGGTCTAGATACATCCAAACCCCCCCCCCCCCCCAAAAAAAAAAAACAATGTAAAGCAACACACTAATTTTATATTTACAAATGTTACAGATGCTTTATAATTTCCCCAAAGCCACTGTAGTATCTATGAGCCCCAGAAGGATCATCTGGTTCCCTGGAGAACCTCAGGGACCTGGCTGGGAAACTGCTAGAAGTGGCAGATATTCAGTAGAGAAATGATGATTTTTCAACGACAACACAGATGCCTTTCCCTCACTCTAGCATTTATACATCCTATATACATATACATCTACAATAGTAAAGAATACCTACACTTCCGCATTCACATAGAAGTTACAGCCCAAGTCGACCTGTGTTTTTAAAGGTCCAGATTCTAATTCCTATGGTGAGAAAAATAATTAAAAGCCAAATACTACATAAGAAATGATCACAGGTCTATAGATTTGGTATTTCAATGTTTGGTACAAACTGGATATGATTCCTGTGAAGTTAGATTTTTTTAAATAAGTCCACTATAAAGCAGGACTTCACCCAGGAAAATTGTTATCCTCCACTCATCCTTTGGTGTTCCCATTCTTCATTATCTGGCACATGCAAAGATGCGTAGCATTTCTGCACATGTGCAGACACACCATGCCGAGTCTTAGCAAAGAACCTTATGGTGTCTGTGGTTTGTTTGCACATGTGCAGAAACGCCCTGTGTGTGACCAACGGTGCCACAGGTCTCTGCCATATCCAAAACACCTGCGGGACATCTGTGCACATTCAAATTCTCGCACCACGCTTGCACCTTGCATCAAATTGTTGTGAATCCCATAAGGAAGCACAGCACAATATCATTCTGGTCTAGGTGCAGCACAAAAAAGGTAGTAAACACCCAATTCTCTAAGAAAGAGGGGAGAAGAACGAGGAACGCTATAGATATGGCTGAATTTCTCCTTTATGGAGAAACTATAATGGTCCGAGGTCATTTCTACCTTTTTACCATTTATAATTTTAAAGTGTTTAAACTGATGTTGTATATTTATATACAATCTTTGCTTAAACATTCAATACATTGCAAAGGATTTTTAGAGCACTATTAACTAGCTAAAGAGACAGACGGCAGAAACCGCTTGCCTTGAGGTTTGCTCTTTGTGATTGAAACCTCAGACAGAGCAGTACAGAAAGAGAGAGTCCCTAGTCTGAATTATACAACTGTTTGTCTAAATTGCAGTTTAAGCTACTGAATTTTCTCAACAAGTTTTTTTCAATTTACTTTCAAAATATGAAATTAATTTGTTTTTTGTGTATATTTGGACACGTTATTGAGGATTTATTATATATTAATTTTAAAGTGGAATTAAAGTTAATCAACTTTTTTTTAAATCTGTTGACAGGCACTTTTTTATGACCGAAGAGACCCTATTAGCCTCTTCTGTCATAAATGCTTCCCCAGGCCTGTCAGCATTAATGTGCACTGAGCCACACATGCACAGCTAAGAGTACATTTATGGTATTGCTCTGTGTTGTGATGAAGCGACTCCCGTGCGTACGCACGCACAGGAGTGATGTCAATGCTGCTTGGCGATTTAGGCAGCCAAACAGAGCGAACTGGGAAGGAAGACCGGGAGAAGATGGACATGCCGAGTGCTGACAGAACAAAGCTGGAGGGCTTTGTTTGAGAGGCAAATCTGCCATAATGAGCTAATAAGCAGTGTATACTAATACATTATGGCATAAACCTACTGGGGGCTCATTAAAAATATATATAGATCAGTTTAATTCCAATTTAAAAAATTTCTATATGTTAAAATGTTTTAATTTTTTTTAGCCCTAACTTTAATAAATAAATATATAAATAAAAAACACTGTACATTCCTTGTAAAGTGAGCCTGTGCTTTGCTCATGCAAAATGAAGCTTACACAGGGTCACGGACTCCTGTGTGAAAGCACTGATTGACTTAGCATTGCCACATGTTCTGTTGCTTTGTCCTGAATGGGCAAAGCACAGGTTTGGCCCCTTTCAAAAGGTGCGTCTGATCAGGTCTGCCTGTCAATTTTTCAGGCGGACCTGATCGTAAGGTCCATTCACCTCCACGGACAGGTGGGTGTAAATTGACTTGTGTCTGTTTGCACCTACTTACCTATGGGTCTGATCCAGTCTGCTAAAAAAAAAAAAAAATGGAAGGGGATCTGTCCTCTTCTGTTTAGGTGGGTAGGATCGGAGGGTAGTTGGGTGTAAATGGACAGCGGAGTCTGTTTACTCACAGCCGCCCACAGAACAGAGAGGATTCTGTCAGTGTCCGCTCTGCATAAACTGAGCAGACATGGATGTATCATCTGCCTGCTCTGCTCCGATCAGCAGGAGATCTGTGAGCTGATCCCTTGCTGATCGGGGTGGAGTCTTTCCTATCTGAAAGGGGTCTTAGGCTGTCAGAATCAATCAATGGTACCCTTATAACTAAATTAACTGCAGGCCAGTGCAAAACGATTGGACAAGTATTGACACATGAAGCTGTTTCACTTTCAAACAAGAATGAATGCTCATGTGTGGGTACACTGACAAGCATGTCACCCAGCAAGAAAGTTAATATTTTTGCACAGCCCCTTTGAAAGATAAATGCACTTTAACATAAAAGTCAACAATCTGCCGCACAAATACATTTATATACAAACTGTGGCTCATAATGTTCACATTCTGCTTGTAAAATCCTCTCTGAGCTGGCTGCGCCCTAGGCATCTTCTGCCTGGATGTCTATTATGAATGATTACACAGAGCAGGCAGTGCAAAAAGATTCAGCAAGAAGGATGTAAACATTATTGAGGGCTATGACATGTAGGTACCGTATTTGCCAGCGTATAAGACGACTGGGCGTATAAGACGACTGGGCGTATAAGACGACTGGGCGTATAAGACGACCCCCTACTTTTCCTGTTAAAATATAGGGTTTGAGCTATACTCGCCGTATAAGACTACCCCTCTTCCAACACACACCAAATAAAAATGAAAAAACATCAGATTTGATTTCAATATGGTATGGTATTTCAGTATGGTATTCCAATGATGGGGTGCTATTCCTCCCACTGACACCAATGATGGGGCACTATTCCTCCCACTGATACCAATGATGAGGTACTACTCCTCCCACTGACACTAATGATGGGGCACTATTTCATCCACTGACACCAATGATGGGGCACTATTCCTCCCACTGACACCAATGATGGTGCCCCATCAGTAGTGTCAGTGTGTGAGGAATAGTGTCCCATCATTAGTGTCAGTGGGGGAGGAATAGTGCCCCATCATTAGTCAGTGGGAGGAATAGTGCCCCATCATTGGTGTCAGTGGGAAGAATCGTGCCCCATCATTGGTGTCAGTGGGAGGAATAGTGTCCCATCATTAGTGTCAGTGGGAGGAATAGCGCTCCATCATTAGTGTCAGTGGGAGGAATAGCACCCCATCATTGGTGTCAGTGGGAGGAATAGCGCCCCATCATTGGTGTCAGTGGGGGAGGAATAGCGCCCCATCATTGGTATCAGTGGCAGGAATAGCGCCCCATCATTGGTATCAGTGGCAGAAATTGCGCCCCATCATTGGTGTCAGTGGGAGAGAATAGCGCCCCATCATTGGTATCAGTGGCAGGAATTGCGCCCCATCATTGGTGTCAGTGGGAGGAATAGTGCCCCATCATTGGTATCAGTGGAAGGAATAGTGCGCCATCATTGGTGTCATTGGGAGGAATTGCGCCCCATCATTGGTGTCAGTGGGAGGAATAGCGCCCCATCATTGGTGTCAGTGGAAGGAATAGCGCCCCATCATTGGTGTCAGTGGGGAGAATAGTGCCCCATCATTGGTGTCAGTGGGGGGAGGAATAGTGAATAGTGCCCCATCATTGGTGTCAGTGGGGGAGGAATAGTGCCCCATCATTGGTGTCAGTGGGGAGGAGGAATAGTGCCCCATCGTTGGTGTCAGTGGGGAGGAATAGTGCCCCATCATTGGTGTCAGTGGGGGGAGGAATAGTGCCCCATCATTGGTGTCAGTGGGGAGAATAGTGCCCCATCATTGGTGTCAGTGGGGAGGAGGAATAGTGCCCCATCATTGGTGTCAGTGGAGGAGGAATAGTGCCCCATCGTTAGTGTCAGTGGGGGAGAGGAGCGGCTGCTCCTTCTTTCAGTTCAGCCGCTTGATTTTCACGGGGCCGTTCGGCTCCGCCTCCTCGCCGGTGATTGGTCGCCTGTGTGCGCTGGCGCCCAATCACCGGTGAGGAGGCGGAGCCGAGCGGCCACGACCATCGAGCGGGCCGAACTGAAAGAAGGAGCAGCCGCGCTTCCTGGACCGGATCGTCGTGGGACCGGAGCCAGGTAAGGTACAGCAGCCCCTCTGCCCACCCCTGTACTTAGTGTCCATTGGAGGACACCGCCCCCTCGAAAAAGTGGCGCCCTGACACCGGCTCGCCGTATACCGGCGTATAAGACGACCCCCCGACTTTTCAGAAGATTTTCACGGGTTGAAAAGTCGTCTTATATGCCAGCAAATACGGTAAGTATGCATCCTGGAGTGAGGGGGAATGGAATAAATGCATTTTGTCTAAATAGGTGCTTATTCTTAAAAAAAAAAATTTATATGAACACTAAAGCCTGTTATACACATTCATTTTATTTTTGTTCAACCCAGCAGGCTGAACAAAGAAAAAAAAAAGGGATTTTGTTATACTCACCAAAAAAATCCCTTTCTCTAAGTTCATTGACGGACACAGCAGCTTCCTCTAACATTAACCTCCCTAGCGGTATTCCCGAGTGTAGCTGGGGGTAAAATGTCAGTGCCAAAAGCGGTAACCCCGAGCTAAACTCGGGTTTTACCATGCGGCGCTGCATAGGGAGTCCCTGCAGAGCTTACCTTGTTCTTCGCTCCCGCGATGTGTCCCCTGCAGCGTCCTAGCCATCTCCTCCGGGCGATGCCAGCATCCGGCTTCTGTGTTCCGGTCCCTGTGTCGTCGGGACATACGGGCACCGCCAGCGGCGGGAAATTTGAAAATTTTAAAAAATTTCATTTTTTTCAAAACACATTTTTCATAGTAAAACATTGCTGTTTCAAACCATTTCACATACATATTGTCCCTAGTGCTTTGTCCTGTGCCCTGCCTGCATTTTGTCTGTTCTTTCTGCCTGGAAACTGAGAAAAGTCCATGGCGTCCAAAAAGTGTCCCTTTAGGTCAAAAGCGGGTTTAGATCAGCTAGAGAACAGCGATAGTAAATCAGAACCACTTGCAGAATTGAGTGATAATGATTCGTGGAGAAATTCATCATCAGACACTGAAAACGATTTTGCGACTTTGCTCAGTAATGTGCGAACTTGGCGCTCTATTTCAAATTTCAGTGTTTTTGGTTTGATTTATATTATTGAATTAAATGTATTATTATTATATTATTATTTTTTATGATTATTTATTAAATTATAATTTATGATTTCGTGTTTCAAATTTTATCATACCCGGGATGTTGAATAGACTCTTGTTCAGACAGATTTCAGTGAGTTATTCCTAAAAATTACAGCCTACAATAAAAAAACTACATATTTTCATGCAAAATAATGGTACCGCTTTCAGCACCAAAAATCTGAAATAATCGGACCGCTAGGGAGGTTAATGAAGCAGGGTTTTATAGCCCCACCTACAGGAGGACACTAGGCAAAAAAATGACTTGGCACCTCCTATGGGCAGTCCTCTCTGGGTGTAAAAGCCCCTCTCTGCTATAGGTCTCCAGTGCATCCAACATCATGCTGGTGCATTTTACCTGCAACCTCTCAATGATGTTCTTTAACTGCAAATACTGGCTGATCTTCTCATAGACGCTATCCCGATTCTCCAACACTTTCCTGTGATGAAAACAATTTGACCATAATTAATACTGGCTATGAAAGTTCCCAAACATTTACATACAGCCATTGCAGACAGTTTATAAGCAGAAACCCCATTTGAAAGAGAAATGTGATGGAGGATTAAAGAATACTGTTATTATCTAGCTGGCCATTGTTTTCTAGGTCACCATTAAGAGCCAGTTGCTCAGTAAGGTCCCCCCGCTTGTTGTGATTAGTGGGTCTTCCTAAAAGATAGCAAGATATAAAGTGCCTGCTCTTGCCTTTAGTGCTGTCTCAAGCCAGGCAAGTCCGCCACTGGAGCCCCAAGAAAAAACAATTAAGGAGGAATATGTGACACCATGCCCCCTGCCTTCCACAATTCAACACTGGATTAGTGAGCGGTCAATTACCAAAGTCACATGGAATGAGGGGAGCTAGTCATAATTAATGGCCAGTTTCTCACATACCAAACCAGGTGTGTTAACGTAACAGCCAGAGATCTAGCATTTTCATAAGGCAACGGCAGGCCCCATATTGTTCTCATGACAGCTTCAGTTTAAAGAGATCCAATTCTTCGTAAGAATCGAAAGCTTTGTTTTTATCTCGTTAAAAAAGTATAGTAGAAGTGGAAAACCCAGTTACTCCTGCACTTGGGGATGGACTCAATGTCATTAGGACCACATATCGAAATTCTTGGGATATGCACACGCCTTGCTGCCCTCAAAAGTGGCTCTGAGGAAGAGGCTAGTCCTTGAAACGCGTCAGCCTTTTGGATGTCCAGAGTTGTCACTACATACAGACAAGCAGTTTGAATTGGACAGAGCTGTTCCTTTATGACGTGCCTTTTATTTATTGATCATTTGTGAGTACAATACTTATTATTAACATTCACTAAACATTTTTAAGGTAATGCACTAGGCCGGTGCACTCTCTGTTTGTTTTTCTCTGTTAAAAAAGTAGAGCCTGATCTCATCTCTCAATCCTGGCTGTGTGTGCTGTTATTCACTTGCATCAATTATCTCTCACCTTGACTATTGTAACTCCCTCCTTGTTGGCCTACCTCATCGCAGGCTATCCCCTCTTCAGTCTATCATGAATGCTGCTGCCAGACTCATCCACCTTACTAACCGTTCTGTATCTGCCACCCCTCTCAGCCAATCCCTCCACTGGCTTCCCATTACCCAACAAATAAAATTCAAAACATTAACAATAACATATAAAGCCATTTAAAACTCTGCCCTCAATTACATCACCAATCTTGTCTCCAAATATCACCCAGACCATCCTCTCCACTTCTCCCACGACCTCCTGCTCTCTATCTCCCTTGTCTCCTCCTCCCATGCACATCTCCAGGACTTCTCCAGAGCTTCCCCCATCTTCTGGAACTCTCTACCCCAATTTGTCAGATTATCGCCTACTCTGCCTACTTTTAGGTGATCTCTGAAAACCTATCTCTCCAGGGAAGCCTATCCTGCCCTCAGCTAATAATGGAATCTTCTATTCCTCCTACCAGTCCATCCCTCACAGTTACTACCTTTTGTACCACCAGCCCCTCCCTCTTAGATTGTAAGCTCCAAGGAGCAGGGCCCTCCTATCCCTCTTGTATTGAACTGTATTGTTGCTGTATTGTCTCCCGTTATATTGTAAAGTGCTGAGCAAACTGTTGGCGCTATATAAATCCTGTATAATAATAATTGTCTCCCGTTATATTGTAAAGCGCTGAGCAAACTGTTGGCGCTGTATAAATCCTGTATAATAATAATAATAATTATTATCTCCCTGTCAGGGCAGAAATATCAGTCCAGGGTCAAGCTGTAATGCCCCTGTAGAGGATGAACCTGTATCCTGCTGCCTGAGCACTTGGCTGATAACAAACACTCTGTTCTGGCTGCTGGTTTAACCCTTTTGTTGCCACTTTTTTTGTACATATTAAATACACATTTTAGGCCTGGACATCATGTAAAACCCCCAGAACATTATACATTTTCTCAAGGCAGAGACCCTGGATAATGAAATGGTGGTACTTTTTTTGTTACTTTACATTTTTGCTGAACTGTTTATCAAAACTGTACTTTCAGTTAAAGAAAAAAACACTCAAATTCCTTTCAATGCACACAAACATGTTATAATACTTTGGGGAAAATATAAAAGATGAGGTTGCTTTAAAAGCCTTACCAATGTACAATTAACAATGACCCTAGACTTACTGCTCTGACTCGTGAGTGTGGTGGGTGATACCTAATATGAGTGATTTCATATGCATGCAAACCTAATGTGTAAATTTGTGTTTATGTGTGTGTATGTGCACGTGGGGGCTGGTAAATTTCTTTGGGGTGTATAAATAATTTTAATAAACTTTAAGCGATTCTAAAGGTTCTTTTTTCTGTAAAATAACAAACATGTCTATACTTACCTGCTGTGTGCAGTGGTCTTGCCCAGTGCAGCCTGGATCCTCCTCTTCTCGGGTCCCTTGCAGACACTCCTGGCTCCTCCCTCCTGTCGGGTGCCCCCACAGCAAGCAGCTTGCTACAGGGGCACCCGCTGCTCCTTGTGTCCATTCACACACGGAGCCGTGGCTTGGCCCCACTCCCCTCTCTGATTGGCTGACTGGCTGTGATTGACAGCAGCGGGATCCAATGGCTCCCGCTTGCTGTCCTATCCAATGAGGAGGCAGAGACCTGGGACAGTCGAACCTGTCATTCGCATCACTGGATCACGATGAGAAGTATTGAGGGGGCTGGGGGCACTGCTGCACACAAAAGACTTTTTACCATCATGCATAGAATACATAAAGATAAAAAAAACCTTCAGTCTTTACAACCACTTTAATTTTTAAACACTTTCTTCTTTTTTTAACTTAGCTTTATTGCTATCATAAGGGACTGACAAGCCCTCTATGTGATAGTAGGTTCTCTTTAGAGTGGTTATAAAGACTAACCAATTTTTACCTTAATGCATTAAAAAATGTTTAGGCTGCTTTCACACTGATCCGTTTTTCTCCCGCTTTTGCGTTAAAAAAAAAAAAGTGGAAGAAAAACTCGTGACCATGTATTCCTATGGAACTATTCACACTGATCTTTTGCAGGTCTGGTGTATTTTTTAAAAATCCTGCTTGCTGCATTTTTGGTGTGGTAAAAGTTTTGCACCAAAAAACACACCTTCCCATTGAAAAGAATGGAAAACACAACAAAAACTCATCAAAAACACACCCCCATTGTGTTTTTAGTGTGCTTTTTGAGTCACATGTCCTGTAAAAGATGCGGTAAAAGAGTTGCAAAAATGCATATCCATTTTTGCTACAGATCAGTGTGGAAGTAGCCTAAGGCATCAGTATCCTTCACCCCCTCTTCCTTTTACTTAACTGAGCTCTCATTCGGTCCACCGTTGGTCATGTCTGCAGCTCTTCTCTCCGTTCACTTCCAGGTCTCACTGGCTTTGCAGGCGCATCGGGAGCCATTGGCTCCTACTGCTGTCAATCAAAGCCAGGGACGAGGGATCGGGGGTGGGGCTGAGTCCCGCTGTCTATGTTAATGGACGCAGCAGTGAGGCTCGGGAGTGAGCACACACAAGTGGCTTCCTATGGGGGCACTGGACAGAGATGAAGAGCCAGGAGTGCCGAAGAGGGACCCGAGAAGAGGAGGATCGGGCCCAATCTATTCAATTCCACTGCACGGATCGGGCAAATATGACATGTTTGTTTTTTTAAGAAAAAAGGTCACCTTTATAACCACTTTAAAAAACAACATCAGGGGTCTGTTAGAGCCCCAATGTTCCTTCTATACTCTGCTGAAGCTAACTGAGCACAGACTGTACTTGATTAGCTTCTTCAACAGGCAGAGGGTGGGGTTTGACAGCTTTAAACCAGGAAGTGATCTGGCCAACATGAAGTCAGAGGTAGGGGGTCATGTGTTTCTGTGTGAAGTTGGGGAGGAATGGAGAGATCATGTGGTAGGGAAGGCCAATCATGTGCTTCACACCTCAGGTCCCACTGCAGGGTGTCAGACACGAAGGCTTCATATCTCAGCTCCTTTTCCTCCATGGTACAAGCAGCCCCCGGGCCACTTCCAGATGTTTTTCTCCCAGAAGGCACAGGGATGGGGTTTGACAGCTTTGAACCAGGAAGTGATCAGAGCTGAGCACTTTGGGGTTCATATTACCCAGAGGAGATCAGGGAGTGAATGTTTATCCTGACACCTGCCACGATGGTCCTGGGCACCTAGGAGGGACAGGTGTAACTGGGATACATAGCTGGGGAAGCGGGGAGGGGGTGCTCACCTTCCTCTGCATGTAGAAGTAAATTACTTCTATCTAGAAGCAAGCTGGCAGTCAGGAGAAAAAAATGTAAACAAAACCCGGGCTGCTGTAGCAGCTAGTAGTCTGTTTACATGCCGATGATGGAGCCAGTGTCATAAGTGCACTGAAAGGGTTAAAGTACATTGTACAATCAGATTGTGCCATCTATGGTCAGCTTAAAGGAGACAAGTCAGAAATGTCGGCTACCACACATCTGAAGCCCTAAAGACCCTTATTATGGCCATATTATACCCGAGACGGTGATGGGATGGAAGACGCTTATCAGAAGTCCATGACCCTCTAACAATTTGGAAGCTTTGGTTGGGGTTGAGGGGTCACCAGTTTCGTGGCTGAATATCTGGGTGACCAAGGCTGAGTTGGGTTGTTGAGCCCAATCTGTGTATCTATGGCCAGCTCTGGCCAACATGAAGTCAGGTGACAAGCAGAGGTAGGGGTCACGTGTTTCTGTGTGAAGTTAGAGGGAGAGATCACTTGGTAGGGAAGGCTGTGCTTCACACCTCAGGTCCCGCTGCAGGGTGTCAGTCACGAAGGCTTCGTATCTCAGCACCTTCTCCTCCATGGCACGAGCAGCCCACGGGCCACTTCCGGGCTTCACGTGAGGCGCAATCACGCAAGGCGCCCGGGCGGCCATGTTGCTTCCAGGCGGAAGCCCGGCTAAGGCATCGGAAATACTAGAGAACACCTGTGCTCCGGTTTCCGGTGCTCGGCCGGGACAAGATGGCGACGCCGGAGTTGTTGCTGGATTCCAGCATTCGGCTGTGGGTGGTGTTGCCCATTGTCTTCATCACCTTCTTCAGTGGTCTCCTCCGCCACCATGTCACCCGTCTGCTCCAGGGAGAGAAGAAGACCGAGCTGGAGCCGCTCAGCGACAGGTGGGGGCCTGAGGTGTCACATATGTTCTCTCCCAGGCCATGTGTGCTCCCCTCAGCTGACTAGAGAGGTGGCTGGAAGGCCCTGAGCTGGCGTCTCTTGCCATATGTGGCCCCTGGAGTGTGTACCCTGGGCCCCTGAGGGATGAGGACTGCCCTGCTTCTGATCCTTGTGTAGAATGTGTGCCAGAGTAGAGGAGAAATCACAGTCCCTGAACTGTCGAGGCCATAGAGGAGACACTCAGAGACTGCAGACTGCCTGGGTAAGATGACCAGAGACTGCGGACGCGCTGCGGGAGAGGGTCAGAGACTGCGGACGCTCTGCGGGAGAGGGTCAGAGACTGCGGACGCTCTGCGGGAGAGGGTCAGAGACTGCGGACGCTCTGCGGGAGAGGGTCAGAGACTGCGGACGCTCTGCGGGAGAGGGTCAGAGACTGCGGACGCGCGCTGCGGGAGAGGGTCAGAGACTGCGGACGCGCTGCGGGAGAGGGTCAGAGACTGCGGACGCGCTGCGGGAGAGGGTCAGAGACTGCGGACGCGCTGCGGGAGAGGGTCAGAGACTGCGGACGCGCTGCGGGAGAGGGTCAGAGACTGCAGGAGAGGGTCAGAGACTGCGGACGAGGGTCAGAGACTGCGGACGAGGGTCAGAGACTGCGGACGAGGGTCAGAGACTGCGGACTGCCTGGATGAGAGGGTCAGAGACTGCGGACTGCCTGGATGAGAGGGTCAGAGACTGCGGACTGCCTGGATGAGAGGGTCAGAGACTGCGGGACGGGGTCAGAGACTGCGGGACGCACTGCGGGAGAGGGTCAGAGACTGCGGGAGAGGGTCAGAGACTGCGGGACGCACTGCGGGAGAGGGTCAGAGACTGCGGGACGCACTGCGGGAGAGGGTCAGAGACTGCGGGACGCACTGCGGGAGAGGGTCAGAGACTGCGGGACGCACTGCGGGGAGTCAGGGTGCGGGAGACTGCGGGAGGGTCAGAGACTGCGGGACTGCGGGAGAGGGTCAGAGACTGCGGGACGCACTGCGGGAGAGGGTCAGCGACTGCGGGACGCACTGCGGGAGAGGGTCAGCGACTGCGGACTGCCTGGATAAGATGACCAGAGACTGCGGACGCCCTGCGGGAGAGGGTGGGAGACTGCGGACGCCCTGCGGGAGAGGGTGGGAGACTGCGGACGCCCTGCGGGAGACTGCGGACGCCCTGCGGGAGAGGGGGGAGACTGCGGACGCCCTGCGGGAGAGGGGGGACTGCGGACGCCCTGCGGGAGAGGGGGGGGAGACTGCGGACGCACTTCGGGAGAGAGGGGGGAGACTGCGGGCGTACGACACGGAAGGGTGGGAGACTGCGGGCGTACGACACGGAAGGGTGGGAGACTGCGGGCGTACGACACGGAAGGGTGGGAGACTGCGGGCGTACGACACGGAAGGGTGGGAGACTGCGGGCGTACGACACGGAAGGGTGGGAGACTGCGGGCGTACGACACGGAAGGGTGGGAGACTGCGGATGTCCTGTATAAGACGACCAGAGACTGAGGACATACTACAGATATGTTGGGTACTGGAGACATGCTCCAGGAGATGATGGAGAAACTGTGTCTGCGCTCCAGGGGGCAGAGAGAGACTGCAGGTGCGCTCCATGAGATGGTGGGAGACTGCGGACATGCTCCTTGGGGTGTGTGTTGACTGTGGACGCTCTCCAAGAGACAGCAGCAGACTGCGGATGCGCTTTGGCAGACTGGAGACACACTCTGGGAGATGGCGAAAGACTGCAGATGCGCTCTGGGTAACTGCAGAGAATCTGTAAAAGATGACCAGAGACTGTGGACATGCTACAGGAGACAGTGGGAGAATGTGGCCGCACTGCCAGAGACAGTCAAACTGAGGACGTGCTACATAGGACTGATAGAGATCAGTCATTACAGCCCCTTTACAAATCCATTCTCTTTCAGCAGTACTGACTGTTGAGCTCTGCACATCTACCATAGTTTCTTAGGTTTGGCTTTATGGGCCTACACTGTAATAACTTTTATAATATTTTTGTTTATGTGGCCCCTGGGCTGCCAATGATGCACCTATCATCATCTACTATCCCTGGGTGGACACAGTTGCCGTACCTCCACATTTACTAGCCCAAATTCATTGGACTATTTCTCCCTCACCACTTGTCGGTGACAACTGTAAAATGTTTGATTTCCCATCACTTTCTTTCTTGTTGATAATTAGAGAGTGTGAATTGGCCCAGCAGGGACACAATCAGCAATTTAAACCCGATCCAAGTTCTAACTCTTCTGCACACTGGTGTAAACTAAAAACAGTTTAGCTTTAGAAGTAAAGTTATGAAACTTCCTGCCTCTCAGTCTGGGTCCTGTTCCGGCATCTTCTCCCCGAGTGCCGATATTGTGGCATTGATTGGCTGTCTTGGGATGATGTAAACCCTGCGTTGCACCGACACAGAGCTGTAAGTGGAGCTGTAAGTGGAGCTGTGCATGCGCGGCTCCGTTAACATGTTGTATAAGACTGAGCAGGCAGGTAGGTGTTTTTGTCTCTGCTGCTATAATAGCCAGCCTGCTCACAGTCTATTGATAGATGACTCCACTTCAGCTTCAGTGCTAATTTTGTGAGCGCTGAATATGTCTTTTATAAATATCTTTTAAAAACTGAAAAACAACTGCTAGAACCTACCGTATTTTTCGCCGTATAAGACGCACTTTTTCTTCCCCAAAACTGGGGGGGAAATGTCAGTGCGTCTTATAAGGCGAATATGGAGCGGCCAGACCGGTATTTCCACCGCGGCCGTGTCAGAATACCGGGCCGGCCGCTCAGCTCTGCAGCGGGACCTTACCTGTTCCTCTATCCAGCAGCGCGCTGTCTTCCCGGCTTCTGTAGTGTGGGCACTGGGCATGACAGCCGGGTGCTAAGTGCGCATGCGCAAGAAGCGGTGCTTTTTGTGAATGGTAAGGCGGTACCTGGGACACATGACAGATCCCAGAAGCCGCCGGACCAATCACAAAGCGCAAGTGCTTCTCGCTCATGTGCACTGGGCACCCGGCTGTCATGCCGAGCGCCATTACAGAAGCCGGGAAGACAGCGCGCGGCTGGATCGAGGAACAGGTAAGATCAAACAAAAACTCTGCAGAAGTAAGAGCGGGTACCTGTCAAATTCAGGTACCCGCTCCCCACCTCCCCAAAGGTCAGCAGTCATCTGTACTGTCCGCAGTCTCTGGTCATCCCTGTGCTGTCCGCAGTCTCTGGTCATCCCTGTGCTGTCCGCAGTCTCTGGTCATCCCTGTGCTGTCCGCAGTCTCTGGTCATCCCTGTGCTGTCCGCAGTCTCTGGTCATCCCTGTGCTGTCCGCAGTCTCTGGTCATCCCTGTGCTGTCCGCAGTCTCTGGTCATCCCTGTGCTGTCCGCAGTCTCTGGTCATCCCTGTGCTGTCCGCAGTCTCTGGTCATCCCTGTGCTGTCCGCAGTCTCTGGTCATCCCTGTGCTGTCCGCAGTCTCTGGTCATCCCTGTGCTGTCCGCAGTCTCTGGTCATCCCTGTGCTGTCCGCAGTCTCTGGTCATCCCTGTGCTGTCCGCAGTCTCTGGTCATCTCCTGTACTGTGTCTGCAGTCCATTAGTTCAGAATTTTTTTTTCCTGTTTTCTGCCTCTAAAACCTAGGTGCGTCTTATGGTCAGGTGCGTCTTATACGGCGAAAAATACGGTAGATAGTATAACAGCGGACTTTAATAGCACTATGAGACCACTCTTTGGTTCATTAAGTCCACTTCAATACCGAGCACTTTTTACCCTCTTCCTGTCCAGGCCAATTTTCAGGTTTCAGCGCTCTCACACTTTGAATGACAATTGCGCGGGTCATGCAACACTGTACCCAAACTAAAATGTTATAATTTTTTCACACAACTAGAGCTTTCTTTTGGTGGTATTGCAGTACAGCGTCAGCATATAACTGGTGTGGCGGTGATCAGGGACACTGACTGGTGACAGTATGAAAAAAAAAAAAAATGTTTTATTACATTTTTTCTCTTTATAAGATTTTTTTTCATATTTCACTATGATCAAAGTAGTATAATGTTACCATTGGATAGAGAGAAAACAGGATAGAGAGGCTGATTTCCCTGAGGCTGCACCCCTGAAGCATTTCCTTTGGTTGTCGCTGTCCTGGTACCCTTGGCTTCCATTTTGGCTGTGCATATCCTGAGGCGTTGGAGAGTACATACGATATAATGTTACCATTGTACTACTTTGGGGAAGTGATCAGTATTTTTTTTTTATTTTTACACAATTTGATTGCTTATAGGAAAGAATTCCTGCTATAAGCAAGCATTTAACTGAATTAAATCGATTCATTCAGGTTTTTTATTTGTTGTAATTAGCTGTGATTGGCCACGGCATAACACAGATGGGCTGTGATTGGCCCAGGCTGTGCATGTGATCGCTGTGACCATTCACAGACACACTTGCATACGATGGGAGGCATGAAAGGAAGCCATCCATTGTATACAACGGTCATGTGACCTGCTATGATTGGTCACAGCAGGTCACATGGTACTGGCAACAGGGTCGGTACACAGATCTGTCATCGGTCGTGTCCGAGGTACACAGCTGGTGACAGATCTCGCGACAGCACGGCCCTGCGGGCACGCTTAAAGCGCGATCCGGAAAGGACGTCATATGACGCCCTCCCGGAGGGACGAAGTGTTCGCCCGGCCTTCATTTGACCATAGGCCGGGCGGCAAGTGGTTAAAAAAATATATTTTATTCTACATAGATGTAAAACAATTTAGAGTACATTGAGAAATTTCGTACATTAAAACCAGGGGAGATTGAAAGGAAGATTCCCCCCCCACCCCAAATACATAACCTTCTCTTTTCAGTTAATTGTATAGCCACATAGATTGTGTTAATAGCTTGTCCAGCTTCAACGGTCAACATGTTTCGCATATATCTTCCTCAGGACCGTATGTTAAGGGAGGTACAGCACTAACATTATAAAATAACATACATTAGGACATATCACTAGAAAATCAAGAACTATACAGTAAAACCTAAACTAGGCAAAAATAGCACATATATAGGCTCATGTTAATAGGGCGTACTGCAGAGGGACCCAAATGCAAGGTCTGGCAGGTGAACATAGGAGATCCAGAAAGAACCACTCTCTGGGGGACACATTTGCAATAATATAAGCGATCATCAATAATTATCTTTGTAGAATTTAAGTTATTCTTCTCTACATAGATTGTATCAAAGAAAATAGCACACATACTGTGCATACCTACATAAATGGCCTTGTGTACAAGAGAGAGGAGAATTCTCAGCCTAGTTTAGGTTTTACCGTATGGTTCTTTATTTTCTAGTGATATTTGTACTAATGTTTATTTTATAAATGTTAGTGCTGTACCTCCCTTACGTATGGTCCTGAAGAAGCTATATGCGAAACGCGCCGACTGTTGAAGCTCGACAAGCTATTAACACAATCTATGTGGCTATACAATTAACTGAAAAGAGGAGGTTATGTATTTTTTGGGGGATCTTCTTTTCAATCTCCCCTGGTTTTAATGTACGAAATGTCTCAATGTAGTCTAATTTGTTTTACATCTATGTAGAAACAAAGCATGTAGTTCCTATAAAGTCTGCTAATATACTGTCTAGGTTCTACCAGTTGTTTTTTTGTAATTTCAATTGGATGTGGCACATTGAAAGCTCTCAATATTCTTTTAAAAACCGTTTGACTTTTTTTTTCTTTCACTCCTCGTTATGTGTTTCATTTTTCAGTCAGGTGCTGATAAGAAGCCGCATCCTCCGGGAAAATGGCAAATACATCCCTCGACAGGTCAGTTTTTAACTAACACTACGCAATGCCACATGTGTAAACAATTGCTTCTTCATTTTGTGGGCTGAAGGGAAAGATTATCCACTTTCCCTGGCTATGTAGCTGATATGGCTTCACAGACAACCAGCGGGTTGAATGAAAAAAACCTCTCAGATCCACACAAGCGATGTGGATGCAGGGATCTCTCCTGCTGCACTATTGCATTCTGACTGCAGGGGCTCCTTCCCCTACCAGAATACACTAATCGGTGCTGCAGCCATTGTCTGCAAGTGCTGATTAAATGCTGGTTTTCCAGCAGGATCATTTGGCAGAAGTAATGCAGGCTATACATGGGTTGAAGTTCGAACAAATTTTTAGAAAATCAGAATTTTCGTGCATTTTGTAATCCGATGGTGCCACTATTGATTTCGAAATTCGGCCAACCAAGGCTTCAGGCTCACCTCCTACCTACTACAGAAAAGAATTTTCGTGGCCAAGAATTTTCTTTTCTTTCCAGGTCACATCTCATGCTAATTTCTTTTTCGTTTATATTTCCTGTACGATTCTCCAATCATTGATTCATTTTTTTAAAACATTTCCAACATACCCGATCACTCAAATTCGATTGTCACATGAAAATTGTCCGTTTCTGTGACCCACTAATGGTGCGACATTCGAACGAACATTAAAGGTTTTCGAAGGAAAATTCTTTCGGAATTCGACTCGTGTATGGCCGGCTTTAGTCATTAGACTGGATTCTGTTGAACAGAGCGGTACACACACAGAAATTTGGCCGGTTCCTGCTGAAGTGGCTGGTGTTCAGTCCATGTGTACCAGCCTTTAGTCTCAAACTGTCAAGCCATCTTGTGTCATCTGCCCGTTTCTCATCCTCAGCCAATCAGAGGCAGCTTTGTATTCTTTTATAGAACACAAAGCTCCCTGTGAAAGCCTGAGCACAGCTTAGCCTGCCACAACTTTGTTGCAAGTTTGGGATGGGAAGTTCCATCCTGCTGCTAGAACACAGCACTGTATGTAGCTGAGGCCACTGCATCTCTTAGTGAAGGTAGTAGTTCATTTGGACCAGCTTGGTCCAAATTAACTATTTAAATTTCACTAAGAGCTAGAGATCAGCTTTAACTGGAGATGTATATTAATATGTAGAATTGTCTGTGGGTGTACCTTGTTGGGGCTCCCCCCTCTTATTTTTACTGAAACTCTATAATAAAAGAGTAGTCTGAGCCTCTATAGACTACCATTCTATGGTGTCGCCTTTTGCCTGTCCTTCAATACTCCCTTACCAACCCCCACCCATCTTACAGAAAAGGTACTGCCATTGCAAGCCCCCAATAAAAATATGTGAATTTGTACATGTAGCTACAACAAGCTGTCTATGTCAATAACCTGTTTGGAATTCTCTCCACAGTCTTTTCTCATGAGGAAGTTCTATTTTAATGATGGTGAAACTGGCTTTTTTAAGAAAACCAAAAGGAAAGTAACTCCCAAGAACCCAATGACTGGTAATTATCTAGGCACACTTACCTCTTTTGAGAATGTATGGGAATGGATCTAGGATAAGATTGCCCAAGGTATCTAATCAGATGTTTTAATACCTTCACTGGAATCTGTGCTTTGACCATACAGGGCATAGGAGGTTTCATTTTTTTTTAATCTTCTTTGACGGTGTGGCAAAAAAAAAAAAACGGAATGAGTATATCTACAAAGAATGCCAGGTATTAAAATGAACTTGTTTCTTTGCCCTTTCCAATATGACCGTTCTCTCTCTACAGATCCCACCATGATGACTGAAATGATGAAAGGTAATCTGACCAATGTTTTACCCATGATCCTCATTGGGGGCTGGATCAACTGGGCTTTCTCTGGTTTTCTTACAAGTAAGTACTATTTGTGTTTTCCTACAAAAAGCAGTGTTATGATAACCAAATAGCAACCGCATTTTCTGAAGTCATATCAGTGATTTTTGAATTCTAATTTGGCTCACTGTATTTTAGTCCATTGTGTAGGCTTTACCAAGGAAGACCTTTTACAAGTTTTTTTTTTTTTTTTTTTTTTAGCCAAAGTTCCATTTCCCTTAACCCTACGATTCAAGCCAATGTTACAGCGTGGGATTGAGCTGGTCTCCCTGGATGCTTCATGGTAAAAGCAGACACGTTATATTATCTCAATTTTTTCCATCATCGCATTGGGGGGTCTGACCTGTATTTTGCTTGTAGGGTGAGTTCTGCATCCTGGTATTTCCTCAATGTATTTGGTTTGCGAAGTATGTACACACTCATTTTGGGACAGGACAATGGTGAGTAGAGGATGCTGAGGCAGGTAAATAACAGCTTTGTTGACCAAATTAAAATGTATTTTGCTAACTAAAAGAAATAAGTGGGTGGACGGTTATAAATCCCAAAAATAAATATTTATTCAAATGAATATGTAAATCTATAGATAGTAGTAATACTTTCCATGAACCTTTTGTTTTAGTGACTGGTTCAAATTTAACCAGACAACTGAAAAGTGTCAACAATGCATGACCCTTACCCTTGGCTCTTGCTTTGTAACCACTTGCTTATGGGACATGCTTCAGGAACAGCTGTACAACACTACATTATATTTGACAGGTATAGGTTCTTGTAACCCATGTATCGGGTCACATAAACCAAACTCTGAATCAGTGCCAGGAAAGTTGAGTTTTTTGGGTCTAGGTATATAGCATGTTGAAAACTGCCTTTACAGTTCTGTTGTCATTGCAGCTGCTGATCAAAGTCGGATAATGCAAGACCAGATGACTGGAGCAGCCATGGCTGTGCCACCTGATACTAATAAAGCTTTTAAAGTGAGTACCATCAGTTTGAACTTGTGTAGTGAAACTCCAGTTTTGTTGAGAGGAAAAAAAAAATGAACACGCTTTTAGCTTCTGTTTCTTAGGTACTTAGACCCATTCAATTACCTTGCTCAGACTTTAAGGGTACAACCTATTAGGGTACTGAAAAATACTCCAGAGTGCTTATATGAATACTGTGATTGCTGACATTTCTTTTCAGAAAATACTAGTTGCCTGGGCTTCATGTTAGAGTCATCTTAGTAAATAGATGGGATAGTGTGTATATGCAGTTAGATCCATATATATTTGGACACAGGCACAATTTTCATACTTTTTGGCTCTATATGCCACCATAATAAATTAAAACAAAACAATCCAAATGAATTTGAAGTGCAGACTAAATATGTAAATATCAAGTACAAATTTTAGAAACTGCAACCATTTTTATACACAGTCCCTCCATTTTCAGGGGCTCAAATGTAATTGGACAAATGAATATAATCATAGATAAAACGTTCATTTTTAATATTTGTTGAGAAGCCTTTACTGGCAATGACTGCCTGAAATCTGGAACCCATGGACATTACCAAATACTGGGTTTCCTCCTTTCTGATGCTTTGCCAGGCTCTAACTGCAGCTGTCTTCAATTGTTCTTTGTTTGTGGGTCTTTTTGCCTTTAGTAAGTGAAATGCATGCTCAGTTGGGTTCAGATCAGGTGATTGACTCGGCCTTTGAAGAATATTCTACTTCTTTTCCTTCAAAATCTCCTGGGTTCCTTTTGCAGTGGGTTTTGGGTCATTGTCCATCTGTAATGTGAAGCGCCGTCCAATCAACTTTGCTGCATTTGGCTGAATCTGGGCTGACAGTATCTCTCTAAACATATATATATAAAAATGCAGCGCTGTAAATGATCAAATCATGCAAATCAACACAATAATAGTCCTGAAAAGGTGCTCAATAATTCCCAGTGCCAATGGAAAGAATGCAAACTAACCAGAAACACATTTAAAATACGCATGTGTGTAAGAAATCCTGGAGATTCCCCTCTCTCCCTCTGGTCAGAAAATGGATATGTGCTGAAATGGATGACGACGACGCCCTCTTGTAGGAAAACTAAATCCTGCAGGATTTCCTTACACACATGCGTATTTTAAATGTGTTTCTGGTTAGTTTGCATTCTTTCCATTGGCACTGGGAATTATTGAGCACCTTTTCAGGACTATTATTGTGTTGATTTGCATGATTTGATCATTTACAGCGCTGCATTTTTTTATATATATATGTTTTACTGAGGATTTTTACATGCGTTTATCCTGGATGTTCAGCTGCTGTTTCTTTGAGAGCGCTCACTGTGTGGCCTTTACCTATACAGTATCTCTATCTAAACACTGCAGAATTCATCCGGCTGCTTCTATCTTCTGTCACATCATCAATAAACAGCAATGACTCGGTGCCACTGGAAGCCATGCATGCCCCTGCCATCACACTGCCTCCACCATGTTTTACAGAAGACGTTGTGTGCTTTGGATCATGAGCTGTTCCAAGCTTTCTCCACACTGTTTTCTTCCCATCATTCTGGTACAGATTAATCTTAGTTTCATCCATCCAAAGAATGCTTTTCCAGAACTGGTCTGGCGTTTTTAGATGTTTTTGGCAAAGTCTAATCTGGCTTTTCTGTTCTTCAGGCTAATGAATGGTTTGCACCTTGTGGTGAACCCTCTGTATTTGCTCTCGTGAAGTCTTCTCTTGATTGTAGACTTTGGCAATGATATGCCCACCTCCTGGAGAGTGTCCTTCACTTGTTTGGATCTTGTGAATGGGTTTTTCTTTACCATAGAGATGATTCTGCGATCATCCACCACTGTTGTCTTCTGTGGACGTCCATACCTTTTTATGTTGCTGAGCTCACCAGCACTCTTCTTTCCTCAGAATGTGCCAAACTGTTGATTTAGCCACTCATAATGTTGCTGCTATCTCTCTGATGGAATTAATTTTTTAAGCCTTAAATGGTCTGTTTCACTTGCACGCATTATGTCGGTTCACAGTTACAGATTCCAAATGCAAATACAACACTTAGAATCAACTCCAGACCTTTTACCTGCTTAATTGATGAAGAAAATAATGGAGTAGCCCACACCTGGCAATGAAACAGCTTTTGATTCAATTGTCCAATTACTTTTGGTCCCTTGAAAAAGGGGGGATGGCTACTCTTAAGAGCTGTAATTCCTAAACCCTTCCTCCTATTTGGATATACACCCCCTCGAATTAAACCTGAGTGTGCACTTTCAGCCCATATCCATTATATGACCATAGCTTGAATATGTTTTGGTAAATACCTGAAAAAAACTAAAATTGTGCCTGTGTCCAAATATATATGGACCTAACTGTGTGTGTATATTTTTTTTTTCTTCTAAACAGTTCTTCAGTTGCTTCCTGGTTTGTGGCCTAGGCCAAAATGTTACACGTCATATGTGAATCTTCATGGGCATCCTGCACATGTGCCATGCCCCAAACAGGCACAATAAATGATCTGGGAATAGCATTCTTGCTATGATCAGCTCAGTCGTGTAGCAATACAAGAGCAATGCTGTATGCCCAGTACACTATGTAGTACACATATGGCCTGTATATTACCAAAGATGAAAGACTAACCGTTGGAAAGCTAGAGCTGGCGATATCTGAACCTTACCCTATGTTTGTGCAGGCTTCTGACAAAACAAAAAAATCAGAGAGTAAAGCTGGTTACACATTATACAATTTCCTTTACATTTACCAAAACCATATGAGGCCAAACCTAAACACTTTCGAATTGCATAGCCTTGCACTACATAGTTGAAGGTAAATCTAAAGGAAATTGAACAAGAAGACTGTATAATGTGTAGCCAGCTGTAGACGCACGGGGGTTGATTTACTAAAACTGGAGAGTGCAAAATCTGGTGCAGCTGTTCATGGTAGCCAATCAGCTTGTTCAATTAAGCTTTGACAAAACAACCTGGAAGCGCATTGGTTTCTATACAGAGCTTAACCAGATTTTGCACTCTCCAGATTTAGTAAATTAACCCCAGAGTATTAGATTTGTTTTTCTTATGTTTGGCTACAACACATCTTCAGTAACACAGTATTCTACAGCTGAAGCTAGCTACAGAATCTTACTTCTGTTATAACTGAACTAATGCCTTGAGGCTGCAAAGAGAAATACTGTAGCCAAAGTCAGATTTGTGTGACATGTCCCTAAGATCTACCCTTGCCATCTTTACTAGGGAATTGTGAACAGCTGCAGACTGAAATAGTAAGACGTGTGTAGGACTTATTTTCTGTATCATTTTGTTTAATATACAACTCTACTTACAGGCTGAATGGGAAGCCATGGAGATAACAGAGCATCTGTGGGCCTTAGAGAATGTGGAGGAAGAGCTGATTTCTAAGGACTTGGCCTTGGACTACAGCCAGTGATCACTTTGCACAGCCAAAAGAGATTCTTTATCCAGAGTATTTTTCTTACGGACTAGTGCCATAAGCTAATAAATAATATTTTATAAGCAACGAGCCACTGTTTTTTGTTCCAAAGCAATCTTACTATTAAATATTTTACAGCACATTCACAGAAACAGGCCTTGGGCTGTGTGCCATTTTGAAGATAACCTTTTCTACTCCTTCTGGGGAAGGTATATAGCTTTATCTCTCTGGTGCTTGTAGTTACCTTCTGTCGGCTTCCCCCTCCCTCCAAAAAAAATCCTAATTCTAGGTATAGGAGATAGCATGTGGCTCAAACCCCTGCCTCCCAAAATGCAGCACTGGATGCCTCAGCATTATTAAATGGGGCAAGAACAGACTCCCTTTCACTCGTATACTGTGCCCTGGAACATACACAGTGATTTTGGAAGGCTTTAAAAGGTGAGTGGAGGAACAAGTGTAAAGTAAGCGCCAGCACCGATAGGGTCCCGTGATGTAGTGATCTTGTCACTTTCCCTTAATAGGCAAATATGGTTCACTGTGAATGGACTTTGCATCAACCTGCAAGGTCTGCTTATTCTTTAATGACACACTTCCATGTAAATGAAACATTGATATATGAAAGGTAAATCAGCTGTTCACTTTCCAAGGGTAGCTTGCCCAGAGCTTAGTAAAAGAGGTGAAGCTCTGTAAACTTCCATCATCTAATCGGGTGCTAGCAAAAATGCTGTTTTTTTTTTTTTTTTCCTTTGCACATGGTTGGATATTGTTTGCAAAGTTACACCACAATATTCGCTAAGCTGCGGGGCAACTTCCCTTGCAAAATAAATTAAAGGGCATATTTACCTTTAGTAAATTAACCCAATTTGTAGAGAAAAAAAACTGAATTTTGACTTACCCGTAAATTCTATTTCTCAAAGTACAGTACATTACCCACAAGCCTACAGGGCACTTATACCCTCTTCCTGCCCAGGCTAATTTCCAGTTTTCAGCACTGTTGCACTTTGAATGACAATTGCGCGGTCATGCAACACTGTACCCATATGAAATTTTTATCATTTTTTTTGTGACAGCTTTGTTTTGGTGGTATTTAATCAACTCGGTTTTTTATTTTTTCTTAAACAAACCAAAAACCACTGAAAATTTTGAAAAAAAGTTTCTTAGTTTTTGTTATTTACAAAATTTTAGAAGTGATTTTTCTCCTTCACTGATGTGCGCTAATGAGGCTGCAGTGATGGGCACTGATGAGGAGGCACTGGTAGGTGGCACTGATGGACATTGACACCCATCAGTGCCAGTCAGTGATGCCTGACACTGAAAGGCAGCTCAGATGGGCACTGATATGAGGCACTGACACAAGGCACTGATGGGGCTACACTGGTCATCAGTGCCCTGATGATCAGTGTACATGTCCCCTCCGGGGAAAGCCGATTACCGGCTCTCCTCTCCAGCTGTCAGCATGACAGCTCGAGAGGAGAGAAATGCCGATAACCGGCATTTCCGTGTTTACATGTGATCAGCTGTGATTAGACACAGCTGATCACATGACTGAGCCGACATCTTCGGCTCTTTCTGTGAGCAGTGATCCACTGTGAGGGACACAGCGCACTGCCGATCGCCGCACTCCCTGATCTGCGCATGTGCGGTGAGAATGGGAGGACGTCACATGACGTCCTCACAGAATGAGAGAGCCACCTTGCGTCCGTCATATTACTATATGGCGGGCAGGAGGTGGTTAAAGACCAAAAGTACCAGATTCACAACCAAGGGAGACACAGGAGGTCGAAGTTGGGATGTAACACTAGCAACTTCTCATGCAAAAGACTTGACAAGAGAATATAAAGACGCCAAAGTCTTCATAAAGCAAAAACCTGTAGAGTATGCACAGCCAGATTCTGATCCAGACCAGAATGGAGGAAAGCCAGGATGGGAGGAAAAGAACATTTCCTTATAATAGTTCCAAGTGTGATGGTAGATTCAATGAGTAAGGTGGGAATGACAGTCAGATGCCCCTATCCTTTGGGACCAAGGTTTCAATAGCAATGCTCTTAAAGCCAAGGACTGAGAAGCAGGGTGCCTTGTAACAGGACGTTTGTAAGAGGCCAAGACTCATCCGCCAGAAGTCTCTCTACCAAACTCTCCTGGGGCAAAGAGGATCATCAGAATTCATTATTCCTCTATAGATGAGGGAAAATCTTCACTGGAGGGACTGTGAAATCCAGAGGATCTCTGGGCCTGGTCACAAAGCTGTCCAGTTTCAAAAATGGAGGCCTTCACATCCATATCCGGTGTTTCCCAATTTTGACAGAGCATCAGGAAAATTTTGTGGCAATGGAACCACTGCTAGGAGTCGGCGGAAATGGCTGGCAGAAGTGCATCGGCAAAAAAACATACATCATTCAAGCAGCAATGCCATGTGGGAAAAGTTAGCTACCAGCAATATAGTAGAAACATTTACAAAAAGGACAGAACACAATAAAGTGACTAACACCCCACATCTGAAAACAGGACCTGCTCGCAAACACAGGGAAACCCTGTCTTACCTTATCAATGCTGCAGGTTCTTGCAGGGGACTGAACATTACCTGTTATGGTGGACAGACCCTTGAAGGAAATGATGCAGCGCTGCTCCAAAGCTATAAATCACATCATATAACCTAATATATACATAATATAAAGTGACACAACGTGCAAAGAACATAAATGTGCCCCGATCCTCCTGGGATCTTCAAATGTCTAACCGTAACCTGATCCTCAACGGATCCAGAAGTGCACAAAGTGGATACTAAACCACCACAATGATGGTAATAGCAGAGATATGTGAACCAATACTAAAACGTATGGTACAAAAGTGAATAGATCCTGAGTGGAATCTGAAGTGATGGTGGATATAAAAGAATAAACTAGTCCTAATGGGGACTAATAAGTGATATGTCCAACAATTAGGACTCAAATCAAGGAAACTGCATAAACATGCAAGTGTATATCAAAAGTGCATAAACAATACATAAAAAATGAATGAACCCCAAACTCTACATAGTGTTTCCATAAACCAAATATATATCCAATGAACAATAAATATATACAATAGTGAAAATATCCATGTGACTATATCTGATAATGAACATGCAAAAAATGCATGACCCAAAGCAACAAATCTATGTGTGAAAAGTCCAAAAAAATGGTGCTGACAACACCATGTAATACAGAAAACAAAAAAACACTTGTGCCCGTGGATGTTGAATGTGGGTAATCACAGAAGGGTATCTGTAAGTAGCCGGAATAGCCGTTCACATCCTTGCTTCGACCTGCAGGGGTCAAAACACTTTTGGGATAACAAAACCGGATCCTCCATGCATATGATTCCTCTGTCACAGGATACCTCTCCCTGCAACGATCTCCCTCTCAGGGATGTGTGTATTGGTGGCTATATCCTCTCCAGGTATACGGGTAGGGTGTAAGCCAAAAATCGTCCAGGGATTCAGCAATGTCCTCATCCGAGCCGATTCTTCAATCTGATCCCTGAAGGGGTCTTTTTGGGCTGGCTGCACCCTGAGGCAAACTAGACTTAAACATGCCAAGGTGAGTACTGAATGCAGAATCCAGTGCCCAATGCAAACAGTACACATTGCCCCTCCAGAAACCAGTTGTAAACAGGAAGGTTTACCTTCCAACATGACAATGACCCAAAACACACAACAAAAATGACCACACAATGGTTGAAGGACAAAAAGGTGAATGTCCTTGGTTGGCCTAATCAGAGCCCAGACTTAAACCCTATTGAAAATCTGTGGAATGGCTTGGAAGACTGCATTCCACAAATGGTCACCATCAAATTTAACTGAACTTGAGAAGTTCTGCAAAGAAGAATGGGCAAATATTGCAAAGGTTAGATGTGCAAAGTTAGTAGAGATATTCCAACAGACTAAAGGCCAGAATTAAAGTAAAAGGTTGTTCAACAAAACATTGACACAAGGGGGTGATCCTTTTTCCAACTCTGATTCTGTTTTTGAATATTTAAAAATAAAATTCGGAAATGATGAGGGTCTTGTGGCAAAGGTAATATACAGTGATTTTTTTTTTTTTTCACTGACTCGGCTTTAGGTTTATGTGCATGCAGTTACAATACGTACATTACAGGATAGGACTTACCATGGAGCTTAACATCACCAGCTGACAAAACCTCAAATCCCTGATGCCCAACCAATGGCGGGTTGCATGCTGAGTGACAGAGGCTCAGGTTGGCCTTAGTGCTGGAACCGCTGGATGTCAATAAGTTGATCAGCTTCTGCTCTTGCAACAAAACACTCCACAGGGAGTCTAAGTAAACATATTGCGGAAAAACGCTTCTGTATTGAGTTTACATAGGAAGGGACCAGGGCTGGATGTGGCATTAGTTGTCACTATGAGAGGGGTGCCAGTGGTGGCTGTCACTGTGACAGGAGCTCTGATAGGTGGGTGAGCTATGGCTTGATTTGTGCAATGTTTGACGATACTGCAGGACTGTCTATATGCTACATGTGCTGTGAGACAGTGTGTGGCTGCTGCTATCCTCTCCAACATGATCGTTTCTCTCCTGCTGGCCCGGAACAATGCTATTCAACCAATTTATGCAGTCTGCATAGTCAATCATACACCATCATCATGCAGAGCACATCCCACAGTGGAGGAAGAGAGATATTGTTAAATAGTGCTGCTCTGGCTAGTGAGAGGAGAGTTCATGTCAGAAAGTTAAGGCCCACAGAACATCAATACTTGACCCTGCCTGGCAGACAAAAAATGGTCCCTAAATCCCCCAAATAACGCTCAAATAATTTTCACCCAGACTGCTGCAAAATATTAGGATTGCTATTAAAAGGAGAATTTTTTTTTTTTGTTTTAAATCATACATACCTCCATGCTGCAGCATCGGTTTAACATGACCACTGATTGCTCAGTTGTAGGTATCCCAGAGCAGAAAGTGATGATTGTCTCTGTTAACAGGCAAAGAAGTAAACGTGT